AGACCAGCCCTGACCCTCAACCCCCTGGGAAAAGAGGTGTCTGTGTGTCAGACCAGCCCTGACCCTCAACCCCCTGGGAAAAGAGGTGTCTGTGTCAGACCAGCCCCTGGTGCCTGAGTTCTCAGCACCACCCAGGACACACCTTGAAGTCACCAGGGTTCCAACTCCATGCTGCATTCCCACAGAGGACCCCTGAGTCCCCCCACTTTGAGACAGGCTGGCCTTGAACTTGCTATCCCACTGCCTCGGTCTCCAAAGTGTTTAAGATGATGAGTATGTGCCACACAGCCAGCTCCCTAGGACTTTTCATTCAACAGGGTCTCATGTGGTCCATGATACCTTGAATTTGCTACACAGCCAAGAATGACGTTCAGCTCCCAGCCTCTGCTTCCACCGCCTGTGTGCTGATATTACAGATGTGCACTCTGTGCCGGGTTTATGTGGTACTGGAGACCCCAGGGCTTTATGCGTCCTTAGGCAGGCACTCTGCCAATTGAGCTAGATCCCCAGCCTTCCCCAGATCTTCAAAAGCCCAAAGGCACGGGTTGGGGAGTGTATCTTCATGCAGCCAGGTCTGAGGAAGGTAGAGATGCTGCCATTCCCTCCCTGGCCCTTTCCCAGCCCCGACTTGAGTCCATCAGATGGTCCTCCCTGTCAGGCTGGACTGGTGGTCCTCCACATCCACTTTCCACTACTTATGTATCAAACACAGAGTCCCTGCGGGGACCCGGCTACAAGAGCCAACACTCCTGAAGATGGATCCAAGACTAGGGCTCAGGGGAGGGATCTGCTTCCTCCTCAGTGGTAGTCTCTGGAGACCTGAGGCTCTGGGGTCTCCAACCCTACTGGAGCCATGACTGTTTAGAAAGAGGATTCTGGGAGAGAATGTGGAGGCCTGACCTCAGCAGAAATGACCAGGGACCACTGGAGTTGCGCTGTAGCACCGTTCAGAGAAGCAACAAAGCCCGAAGCGAGAGTCAAGGCTGGACTCAACTTGGTGCAGACATTTCTCTGGCTTCCCTGGGAGTGGGAGTAAGATGCCACCCTGAGGGCAGGTTGAGGCCCACATAGCTCACGTTGGGCAGAACCATGCCTCTTTCTTCCTCAGTGCCTATGCCCTAACCACCACCAGGGACAGGAAGGCACACAGGAGTCTCTCCTATCCACAGCTCCACAGTGGAGCTCTGGGTAGTCATGGCAACCCTCCCAACTCAGGGAGGCCAAGAGAGAACCAGCTCCAGAGTCATCCTCTGACCTCCACAGGTGTGGGTGTGCCGTGGTACACGCATGACGCATCACACACACACACACACACACACACACACACACACACACACACACACACACACAGTGGGCAAAGGAGTCGGGGGTACAAAATCCCAACCTGCCTTAGGATACTAACACCTGTCCCAGTCACGCCTAAGTACGTCCATAAGCAGCCTAGATCTTATGTGCCTCTTCTACCCATTTCAAACAAGCCAGGTTTGCCCCAAACCTGTTTCTCCAAAGACTCTGGGTGGGGCCTATTTCTCACGGTGACCCTTCCCGCATCACTGTCCCCAGGACTTCACGTCCCAATTCACCCACTCACAAGTCCTCTTTTCTTTTACTTTATGTGCATTGGTGTTTTGCTGCATGTATATAGACCGCATGAGGGTGTCAGATCTTGGAGTTACAGACAACTGTGAGCTGCCATGTGGGTGCTGGGAGCAGTCAGTGCTCTTAACCACTGAGCCATCTCTCCAGCCCCCTCACTAGTCCTCTTAAGGCTGCAAATGTAACCTGAGAAAGGGGCCACACCAAGGAGCTTTCTTTCCCTGGTGCCCACGTCAGAAACAAGACATAGAGCCTTCCCCACTCACCTTTGCCTGGCATTCAGCGCCCCCCCCCCCCACTCAATTCCAGCCCCACTGGTTACTTCTAAATTCCTGTGTGTGTGTGTGTGTGTGTGTGTGTGTGTGTGTGTGTAGGGGTGTTGTTGTTTTGTTTTGTTTTGAGACAGGCCCAAGCTGGCTTTGAATTTGTTGTGCCAAGAATGACTTTGAACCCCTAATTCTCACGCCTCTATCTCCCCAGTACTGGAATCACAGGCATTTGCTGCCGTACCTAGTTTGATGCAGTGCTGGAGATCAAAGCCAGGGCTTTGTGCATGTTGGTGAGCAGACCACCAACACAGCCATGCCTGCTTTCCCGCTTCTTTCACACTATTTAATTAATGTGTGTATTGAGTGGGGCTGCCACGCTCCTGCATGGGTACAGCTGGTCAGTTCTCCCCTTCCGTCACGTCACGCGGATTCCAGTTCCGGGGGTTGGATCTGGGTGGTCGGCCTTGACAGGAAGCACCTTTACCCACTGAGCCATCTCTCAGCCCTAAGCCTGCCTTTTAGCTCAGCAGCTTCCCTGCACTCCGGAGCTCCCAGGGCTCTGTGCCTTTTCGCTGGCTCCTGACCTTGCTGGCCCTACACAGCACGCCAGGCCTTCCCAGGCAGTGGTCCTGTTTCCTGGCACCAATCCTTAACTTTTTTTCCCCCGGTTTTCTGAGACAAGGTGTCCTAGAACTCACTCTGTAGACCAGGCTGGCCTCAAACTCACAGAGATCCGCCTGCCTCTGTCTCCCGAGTGCTGGGATCAAAGGCGTGCGCCACCACTGCCTGGCCACCCTTAACCGTTATGCATCGTGGTTCTCCCCACTTCAGAAAGCTCTCCATGGGCTGGGGAAGCCATGTTCTCTATGCTTCCCACCCTTGTGTGCCATGACGCCCCGGCTCAGTTTCAAGTTCACAAACAGCATCTTCAAATGCTGCCACACTGGAGGTGCCACCTGCCCACCTCACACAGGACTTCATTATTCAGTCTTCCTTCCTGCTTGCGGCAGCCTGGGGATCAAACGCAGGACAGAACAGGCTGGAGCTTATTTTTAGGTGAAACTGAAAATCTCCAAAATTGAAGGCGTGCTGTGCTTGCGGAGAAGGCTGCGTATTTATTCACGCTCTCCTTCCAAGGGTGACACAATCAGGATGCAATCCAACATCCTGTAGTCTGCCGCCAAAACTGACCAAGTCAGCTGCGTCTGGAAACCACACACACACACACACACACACACACACACACACACACACACACACACACACACACTCCACAGCAGAACAC